AGCTAAAAATTAGTGTATTTTGTAATGTTAATACTGCTCACTGGGACTCCTAACCAGCTTTTTAGGTTGCTTACTAAATTGGTTATGTTCTTTATTTTGGTTATATTGTTTATTTTGGTTGATTATGTTCTTTATTTTCCTTGTTTCTCTTTTCCCTTTGTAATTTTATACAAAGTGACATTAAAAAAATACATATGCATTACTGTATTTCCCCACCATCAACTGTCAAGTTGTCCTTATTTAGATGGTTTTGTCAGGCTTGATTTTAGACATGGTTGTTAATAAAAATAGTTTTGAAGTTCTTTACATTGTTTAGTTTTTATATTTAGCATAGTAGTATTCCTGATTTCTTTTAATGCTCTAGTTTAGACAACTTTAGGAATAATAGTGTTACGGGAATAAAATTTCCCATATGAACATCTTTGACATCAGTTTCTCTTCTCCCTAGAAAAAGATCTATGTTTAAAAAATTTTGAAATATACAAATTTGTTAAAGGTATCATTTTGAATTTTTTCCGTTGTCATCAAAAGTTTTAATTATTTTGTACTCCTTTATATATAATTCTGTGTGTGTAATTTCATTTAGGAACAAGGTGATGCAGACAAGGAGATCATTTTAAAAACATATAGTCAAGTACTACAAAAGATCCGTTCAGAGGAAAGCCTTATTGCCACAGTACAATCCAAGTACAAGGACAGTGTTGAGGTTGGAGTATGCTTTATATTATTGGTCTTATATACAGATGCTTTGAAATTTTTAATACTTAAACTTTTCTTAAGTAGTTAATACCCAGTGTGTAGATAAATTATTTACTATTACTGGAAAAATACTATAGCTATTGTTAGCTGGTTTATAATTAAACTCACCCTATAGTGGAAATGGCAATTTTACTGATAAAATACATTGAGTTTTTTTTTTTTAAATCTTTGGTTTTTCTTACACTCTCCAAAACATAACTTTTATCTTTTTCTTTGTGCTTTTACAACTTTACAGTAGAAAACTTGCTATATACAGAAAGATAAGGAGAAGAAATAAAAACATTGATTGTATTCCCCTTAGCTTAAGAGATATTCAGTGCTAGTTTTCAGAGTATTTCCTTTTTAAATGGTAAATTATATGTACATATGAATATTATGTGTGTTGCATCATTTTGTAAACTGTTTTGAAAATGTTTTTGTCATTTAATGATTTTTCATGAACATTTTCCCATATGATTAATAATTCTTCTGCACTGTGATTGTGAGTGAATTAAACATCATCTCTTGCATAGATATATGATGTTATTTAGCCTTTCATCTGTGTTAGATATTAAGTTTACTTCCATTTTTTTTTACCTTGAAACTGTATGTAGTTTTTGTACATAATCTTGTGTATTTCCTCAAGTAGATTCCTAAAAATCATTAATTACTTATTCAAAAGGAATGAATATTCTTGAAACTTGATATATATTGTCAAGCTACTTTTGAAAAAGATAAATTCAGTTTACACCCTCACTGGAAATTCCCTTTTGTATTTTCTGTGGCAAAGTGTGTCTCACTGTATGTCCAGCTTGAAATATTTTTTACCTTTGCTCCTTTGATTGCTAGAATGATATTCTTTTAAATAGATATGCAGAAAATCAAGAAGTCAGTGGGTAGAACTGTCTTCTTGAAAATTGTAGAATTTTTTATTTCAATCTGAGCTCAGTAAATATTAATTGAATCTTAATAGAGAGAGTGGTCAGGTGACTATTCAATAAATATTACTGTTTGTGTGTTGAAAATATAACAACTCTTTCTCTCACTTAGTTTAAGAAACAGATTATTGAATGTTTAAATAAGAGCCCCAGCGTGGATCACTTGCTCTCCATTAAAAAGACACTGAAAAGCTTAAAGGCTCGACTGAGATGGAAATTGGTTGAAAAGAATAATTTGGAAGAAGTAAGAAAACAGTTGGTTCTTAATGAACTCTGTGTGTACCTAATTTTACTTGGGGTCTGCTTCTTAAATACACTCTTTAAAATTATTCATTTTTTGTTTTATATATTTTCTCTCTTTTTCCGTCTGTATTTGTAAGTTACTACGTTAATAATGTAAAGCATTTTTTATGTCATGGAATGTTTTCTAAAAACATTTTACAAGGTTGCTTTGGTTGTTAGTAACATAAACGTTTTTGAGTAATTTAAAAAACTTTTCACTTGGACTGTTACAATGTCTACTAAAAACAAGCCTGTTACATGCTGAGAGGTGACAGGGTGCTCCCCTAAAGGTAGGATTTTGTCATAAAGATCAGGATATCTTTTGTTAACTCTCTTTTTAATGGCTGGATGTAGTATTTCTTGCAGATATTTTAAATGTTTACACATGTAATAGAACAAGAAGAATTAGGACACTTTTAGCCTTTAGGCTTGAAACTTTGTGAATAAATTCCATTTACTTATCAAAGGGGTTTACATTATATCTTAATGCAACTTGAATTAGCTTTCTTCCTCATTGGAGCAGTTAAGCATGGAGTGGAACTAATTTAATAGTTTAAAATTTTTCTGGTTTTATCCTATTCTGGGCTGTAGGACGTGAGGTCTTTTTTAGTTGAATTTTTTAACTGTTACAGAAATACATCTAACCTTAAAGACATGTACTTTCTAAGGAGACTTATTATCATTAGTGTTTACAGAGTCTTTATGAGTCCTACATTGTTTTTCCTGTAGTAGGCATGCCACATGTTTACTGATTCTTTAAAGTCAAGTCTTACATGGAGAAAGATTCATGGAATTTAATTGTATTCTGGTTCCTATTCTTGATATTTATTTTAAAGTGGCAGTTGGTCATCTTAGAGAAAATTTACAGCAAATTAAGAGATAAGAAAAATCTATGTAATAGACTTATGGCTTTATTTTTATAATCCCTTTTTGTAGGTTTTGGAAAATTCAGGGTTAGAATAAACTAATATTAATTCGACAATTATGAGGAAATGTTAAGTGCTAGATATGGAAGGATACATAAAAATCAGACAGTGATTTGCCATAGAAGTTGCATTAATTCTTACTAGGAAGAACTTGTTTTCAGTCTACTTTAATAAGCCTGTAAAGTCACTTTTTTCTTTCTGGTTAAAGTCTGATGACCATGATGGATCTGAGATTGAAAAAAT